CCCTGCCGCCACACCCACTCCCTGTGAAGACACCCAGGGAGATGGACGATGGATGTCTCTGGTGTGTGAAATAACCTCATTGTTATGAGTCTGCTTTTACTTGTATCCCGGGTTTTTACGTAGCTACAGCACAACGACAGCCGTGCGTCTTGTTAGGGTCCCCCCCCCCCNNGGGGCCCCCCCCCCCCCTGTCTGCATTGTAGCTTGTGTTTAGTGTTGTGGATTTAAAGTAAACAACAAACAGATAAATGATTCATTAGTTGTCATTTGTTTTGATGACATATAACTGCATAGGCATAGTCATAAAGCTGATATATCCTGTCTGTATATTAGCAGTTTTTTGTCAGATTGACATGTGATTGTGCATTGTGAGGTTTAATCCACTGATTCATCTTTTTATCTAATATTCAAGCTAATGCCATACAGTCTCCATGTCTCCCTTTTTTTTAAGGTGTGTCTGCATTTCTCATGAAAACTGACTCACCTTTAAGAATAGCCTCAGATGCTGCATCTAGTACTGTACCATATAAAAAAAATACCAAAGTTTGTCTTTTCCTTTTTCTCCCTATAGCACAACCGCTTTGTGTCTGACAGCAAAGACAAAGAACCTGATGTCCTGTTTGTTGGAGACTCTCTTGTTCAGCTGATGCACCAGTTTGGGGTAAAACAATAGATCACTTTTCTGTATCTGGTTCTGTATACAGTGGTTGTTTCTTGTTCTCATAAACGTCTATGCATGCTTTCAAATGCTTAGGGTTTGACATGTGGACGCTTTGTTGTTGTTGTGGTTTCTCTGTAGATATGGCGACAGTTGTTCTCTCCTCTCCATGCCCTCAATTTTGGGGTGGGCGGTGACGCGACACAACATGTGCTGTGGAGACTGAGTAACGGCGAACTGGATAACATCAGCCCAAAGGTCCTGAACACCGCCAAAAATAGAGAACATGATCATGCTTGTTTATTCACACAGTAGACTGATTGTGCTTAAATCCAGCTTCCAGGTAGAGTATGTTGACCCTAAACTATCAATGACTCGGTAATGAATTCCTTTCTCCTTTGTTGTTGTAGGTTGTAGTGCTTTGGGTAGGCACTAACAATCATGGTCACACCGCTGAACAAATCTGTGGAGGTATCATGGCTATTGTCCAAGTCATCAAGAACAAGCTTCCACATGCTCGGACGCTCATACTTGTAGGTTTTTTTTCTGATGTTAATCTACTCACCCACATGTCCGTTAAATACGTGAAGAAAAAAAAAAAGTTCCCACAACCATTAAACTACATAGTGATATCTCCTCTTTTTGTTCAATCTCCGCTTTGTGAGATCAGGTTAACGATAGACTTTTGGACTCCAGTATTGTGTTGAAAAGGGATTTAGACTGTATGTGAACTGTTTAGAGCAACTTTTCACACTATATTTAAAGGGCTTGAGATTGAACTTGCTGTGTGTTTAGTAAAGCTACAAACTTCATTGGACTTTCAACTATCATACCTAACCTCATTTTCATTTCTGGAAACATTCCTTTTGATAGTAAATTTTATATTAATTTATAATTAGTTTTAGTTTATTTCTAAGAATAATAATAAAAAGCTAAGGAGTGTTCCACCCTTTTAAACAATAACACCCTTATATCTGTCTTCCAGGGTATACTGCCCAGAGGTAAATCGCCAAACCCTCTGCGGGAGCGAAATGCCAAGGTGAACCAGCTGGTCCAGGAGGCCATATCGTCCCTTCCCCACGCCTCGTTCCTGAATGTGGATCCGGGCTTTGTCCACTCCAATGGTAGCATCTCCCATCAGGACATGTATGATTACCTTCACCTGACCCCCCAGGGGTACCAGGTTGTGTGTGAACCCCTGCACGCCCATCTCAAGTCCATGTTAGATAAACCTGCTGAGAATTGAGCAACCAGGGCACAAACTTACACTACGGCAGTGGTCCTCATCCCTGTTTCCAGAGAACATCCCACTCAACTTATTAATACAAGGAATTATGGAGAGAATCATTTATTAAGGACTAAGAGCTGCACACATTATTTGTGCAAGTCCTCTTCCTGGCCAGGGTTGGTGACCACTGTCACAGATAATGGTAACCTAAAGTCTTTTGTGTTTATAATACAGTCAGAAATTAAATGTGCTGTGCTATAGAGAGACAAAGTCTTGCCTCATACCTGATAGGCATCTGTTCCACTAGTTTTTAGTTCTCAGTGTTTTTCCACAGAAGGAGTTCTTAATTTCTCTGCCACATGATACAAATGGTGAATATGATATGGGGAAATCCCTCTCTGTCGCCCGTCTGGTCATGACAATGAAGGGATAAACAGTTTTAGGTAAATAAATCCAGATGTCTAGTTGTTATGAATAAAGCTTTTAAAAAGATGCAGTAACTTTTTTTTTTTTACGCTAATGAAGATATGCTGTAGGTCAAAACATTAGTTGCTGCTCCTTATTAAAAACCTCATTTATAACTGTGTCCTCCAGATGTCATCCCTTCAGCTACAGCTCTCATGAGACTATCTCAGCCTATTTTTACCTTGGAATATGGACAGATAACTGCTTTTCAGAAGACACCTTCTATGACATAATACATTGTCTACCCGAGGTTACTGGAACAAGAACTGGCTGGAAAAAGGTGCAAGACTTTGGCTCTTTAGTAGCCAGGATATGTCTGGTAAAAAATATGACATACAAGAACTGCCTTTACCAGGAAGTTGCTGTTATTTGTCATTTTGGTTTCTTAGTTTCACTAAGTTCCTTGAGTTACATTTATTTGGCAATAGCTTTACTTTGTTTGTGGTGTCTGATGTCTTTTGTATATGTTAATTTGAATGACCAAATGTTTTGGATTGACCATTACTGTCTATTTGCTTTTTATCATGTCTCATTATTGTTCTTGTACTTTATTGCTTCACCTATTGTAACAGCAACAGATATTGACGTGAGAGGCTGTTTTTGTTTTGTTGCAAACATAAATGTATTTGAGTAGGTCGTGAAGTTGTATAGCTATATCTAAAGTTGCTTGTGCTTCAAGTTTAATCTCATCTGCAACATGGTCCATCAGACCATCTGAAAAGGCTTTACTTCACACTAAAATTCTTCTGAGCCCCTTGTAAGGATTGTGCTACAGAACTTGAATTATGATTCAGGATGTCTGATTGTGTAAGTGATGAAAGAATGCATTAAATGTGAAAACAAAATGGTTTCAGTGTCCTGTGATTGATTAGTCAGATCTGTGTGCTGATAGTCTGAGGCATTGATTGCCACTGATGCACTGCTGAATTTTTATGCCCTGAGATTTACCAGCAGGTTCACCAAGAGTGCACAAACACACACAAGAGATTTATTGCTTTTGGTTGACTGGTTTTATTCTGGTCGCAGACATTGTTAGCTGAAAACTGCATTTCTGAAACTTGAGGAGGGCAAACAAGTCTTGCTTTGCTCTTAACTTGCATCCATCCTTGTCAATATCAGTACAGGACTGACACTTATACCAACATTACACTTAATACAATACCTTATGCTTACAATTCTGGCCGTTGGCTAGATCATAGCAAGCATGCTCTTACAAGTGACAGTGGTGTATCCCTTACAGTGGTGTTGCAAGGCAGATAACGAGCACCCATAATTGTGACCGATTTGTAAGTCAGCATGAAATGCTTTTGCAGGAAACAATGTTTATAATTGACAATGTGTGTTCTGTTAAAAGTTAGATGAGCATAATTAACCGTTTTGATGTCTGTTTTTTCCCATGTTTAAAGAGTGTAACAGCATACTGAAGACAACATTTGATCTCAGATCAGTAAGAATGTTTATGCTACACACTTCAAAGTATATTCAAAGTAAGATCATATAATAACAAGATCCAGTAAGAAACACTTCAGTTTTGCATTCAAATGCTCTAATGCAAGTCATGTGGGGCCCTCATGACAAAGAGCTTTCATTAGTGTACCACCATCAGTGGTTTTTTGGCAAAGGTAAATCTTTCCTATTATTCAGCGCCACCAACTGTAAAGGTGCTAGTTAGACAAGACATGATTCATATGACTGGCAGTTGCTGAATGTACCACGGCTATGATTTCAGAACCTAACACCATCCTTTATAAGGAGCCAAAACAAAGACCATGTCATTCCCTCACTGGGACTAAACCAGTGTGCATGCAGGATTTTTTTCCCTGGACGTGTTGAACTAACAACAACATGGGATCAAGGATGTTTTTGCTGTTGGTTCTTGCACTGCTTATATTTACTGATCACAGCCGAGGTACTGTATACTTTTCCAGAATGAGACAATGTAATGACTTTGAAAAGGAAGTTTACATCCTGTGCATTTTATTGTTTTGTTTTTTATTTCTTTTTATTTTTCATAGGTGTTCCTGAGACACACGATCAATCCTTGATTGTCAACTTATCCTCTGATGGTATGTGAGATTAATGTTTAAAACAAAAAAATAATATTTACTGATATTTATTTAGTTGTATTTGTGCTAATTAATGTAATTGTTTTTAGTAAGTTATTTTCTTTTATGAAGTTTGATATAAATTGTGTTATAGCCTCTGATGTTGGAGAACCACTGACTACTGCAAATCCAATCAACGGCCCAAGACAGAACCACAAACAGTGCTGTAAAGGTAAAAGCAACATTATCATGGGTATACAGTAAACAAAGTATACATCTGGTTATCATCTCATTAGTTGTTGTATGTAAGCAGAGCCTCAGTATTAGTTAAGTGCATTATCCTTACCCATTCTGCTCATTTGTCCTTGTGTATTTGGGTCACTCAGGAAAGGGAAAAGAGATGGTGAGTTGCCCTTGTCAGCAGTCTGCCAGACGCAACAATATCGGGCATGGAAAAAGTGAGTTACCTATAGTTTTTGAGATTTATAAAATAATAAAGTAAAAAAGTGAGGTCACTAATAAGAAAATGACTTCAAACTGATTTGTTAAATTTTAAAGGTTTTGGACAGTGAAATTAATAAAACATTTTCTTCCCAAATTGCTTTACCTGTCTGGATCTATTCAAACCCCCAGTGAAAAGGAAGTGCCACAAGAAAAACAATAAGAATCTGAAGAAATGCATGGTTGTCAAACGGAACATGGGTAACACCAAGAAGTTTGGTCCCAGTATCCCCATATGAATAACACTGTAAGGACTCCTTATATATGTGTGATGTTTTTGCAGTGATCACTGTCATACATATTTCTTTGTGCACAAGTTATATTTTTGTAAACAGCATTTATGACAATGTTTCACTACTAAATGTTTGCATGACTGTAACTGTAACTTTCTGAATCAGAACAAAGACACTGTATCCTCCTCAATAAAGTAACCACAAACTCGATTGTGTTTATTGTTTACTGATTAATAAACAACAATACAATAAATCAAAACAAGATAAGACTTACATTTACTTAATTTTACTTACAATGTTATCACACAGAAAAGAAAAAACTGCAGGTACTCAGAATGAAGAATGGCAATTTATACCAAAAGAATATAGAGGTATTTTAAAGAATTATGATTTAATGGTTCCCCTTGTTAAACAGTGCAAGTGTATGTGTTTGCAAGTGTGTAAGTATCTTTTATATAAGCGCAAAAACAACAACCACCACCACAATAACACTAACACAGCTACTTTTACTTGCATAATAATATAATGATAACATTTAAAATAAAAACTTCACTGTCAGTGTAAATGTTACTATTCTATATTGTATTTTAAGGAAAATAAGTCTATTACAAGGAAATATCAAACAACAAACTATAACTTGACTAGTCTGTCACACTTTCACATTATTCCTTGCCTTTCCAGCAAAACCCACAAAACTTTTGCCTGTAGATGGAGCAGGAGGCCTTTCAGTCAGACTACACAGCAGGAGGAACTCAGTTGAACAGGGCAGTGACAGACAAAGCAACCAAAACCATCAACATCATGTTGGATGGGATGTGGAGGGTCGAGGCATGATCTAAGGGGGAGAGAGGGACAGAAACAATGACAAAGATAAATGGCTGTCGTTCTGAGGGGAGAAAGAGGTTACATTTAGCACAACATGAGACATCTGTAATTGTATAGCACCTACTCTGATTGTCTCAGTGTTTTAATTGTAGTAATCACTAGCATGTATCATATTTTGTCCAAGTTGTTAAAAGAGACTATTAAAGAGCCTATTATGGAGATACTGTGGTGAATATGTCAAAAAATAAGGAGAGAGGAGAATTAAGGCTCACTCACCGACAGTAAAGGCTTTTATCTGGTACATTGTGATATTGGTCACAGGGTTCTTCGCTTTACATGTATAGTTGCCCTCATTCTCTTTTGTTGCAGGGAAAGTGATAACAGAGCCAGTCTTTATAGCTGATGACTGACTGTTTAAGAACCAGTTGAAGTCACAATCTGGCTGAGAGGCAGCAGAGCATGTCAGGGACACAGAGGAGCCAACCTTCGCTGAATCTGGACCCAGGATATGTACCTTCAGAGGGCCATCTGCAAACACAGATAGAGAGCTGGTCAGAATTATGTTCAGTAAAATTATGAATATTGTGTTACTTTGGGACAATTTTAGTCTAAAAAGTTTTTGCGAACAGCATTTAGAAAGCTTTCCAAAACACAGCCATTTCTGGTCAAACTCTGTATAGCAATTACTATTACAGTAAATATTATACATACACAATTATATTTATATAAATTCCCAATCACCAGCTTTAATATATCTGTCATTGGTAAAGATAGTAGTAGTTATTTAGGAGGTGATGTATTACACCTGATCATACACCCAACATAATAATACAAAATGTCATGATGTATTTGGGATCAATAACAAAAAGAAATTCATGCAACATTTAAGTTTTTTTATGAAACCAGTTAAAATGAACAAAATGAGTTTTCTTTAATACTCTCCAATGTCACATTGTTGCGAAAGCACTCACAGTTCACCAGCAGCACGTATTGGGGGCTTGCATGTGGACCAGCCTGATTGGTAGCGACACACTGATATATCCCATCATTGTACATTGTCAGTGGAGTGAAGTGCAGCGTGTTGTTTTCAATTTTGTAGGACATGTTTGCTTTAGCTGTGGAAGTGTTGAGGTACATGTTGTCCTTCATCCAGTAGATCGTATCATAGGGCCCATTGACTTCACAGGTGAGAGTGAAGTTTTCAGAGTTTATTGGAACTGTGTTATTTCTGATCATCACTGACTCTATAGCTTCTGTGGACACAAAACACAGTAGAAATCAGTATTTGACCAGTTACACCGTCACATCCAGTGGTGTACTGAAGGGTATACGCAGATATATGGAGTATTCCCACTTTTAAATCCCCTCTGATGTGCATCATTTAGTAGTGTTCTGCAAGATGAGTTTATGATGAAGGTATAGTTGTCTGATTTTCATGACTGGACGGAGCAAGGAATAAGGAATACTTTAACCAAAATGCATAATTAGGTCATTGTCTCACCCTGTGGTCTGTGGGACAGCACTGATTGCTAAATCTGCACCTCTTCTGTGTCTAATGTTAATTTCATAATGAGCTATCCTCACTGACATCAAGGAGCACAAGTTAAGTGACAATGTGCAAATACTACTAGCAGCATTTTGGGTGAACTAAATTTGGTAGTCTTACATGTCACTGTTTATAACACAGGGAATCTGACCTTTGCTGGACAGGCCACTTTAAAAACAAATTTGGGGCATAAATTAGTATACTCACTTATCCAGGCACCACTACACCACTGGTCAAATGACATACACTGAAAGAGTCAAACTCGTACTTGAGGTTTTCTTACCAATGACTGTGAGCATCTTGATGCTTATGCTGGAATTTTCTGTCACATAATTTAAGGCCATACAGGTGTATTCCCCACTCATATTGAAAGACAGAAGGCCAGTTGTAAACTCTGAAGTATTGGCCACTGTGGAGTCATTGAAGATCCAGAGGTACTGACTGGGAGGCACTGACTTGGCAGAACAGCTGAACTTTGCAGTATGTCCTGTCTCAGCAAAAGCTGGCCCATCAATGATGGGTGTTTCTGGTCCAACTGCAACAGCAAAGGAGACAGTAGGCTGACTCATGGTAGTAAATTTAATTAAATAACTAATATGATGATGTACTACAGTATATAAAACTGTCAGTTAAAAATAGTCAGTGACATAAATCCTTAAATCCTTAAAGGTACTCACAGTTCACAAGAAGATGGAAAGGAGAGCTGGTCATGCTCCAAACAGTATTAACTGCCATACACTGGTAGTTTCCAGTATCAGTTTGTTCTAGTGGATTGAAGGTGACTGTCTTGTTGTTCATGTAGAAAACAGTTCTGTTGTTTTCATGCAGTGGCTCATCATTTTTCAACCAGTAAATATGCTCAGTAGGTCCAGTCACATTGCATGTTAAATTATAAAAATGACCTTCTATGGGAGGATTCATTGGTGCCTTCACATGTACCATTATTGGATCTGAAAACCAATCAAACAGTTATTTAGTTCACACTTGAACATCCAGTTTTCCTGTTTTTACATTATGAAACAAATGGCCATTCAAGACTCACCAATAACAGTAAGCATCGTGTACGCAGTGCTGTTTTTGCCAGTGATGTTGTTGTAGGCCATGCAGGTGTACATCCCACTCATATCTCTGGTAAAGGGAGGTGTGACATACTCAGACGTATTGGCCACTACAGAATCATTGAAGAACCATTTGTAGACCAGGTGATGGATATATGAGCGTAGCAGCTGAGGGTTCGACATATGGTCTCGCTGGTCTTTGCCATAGGCCTACAAAGTAGGTTTGGTCCCAATGCATAGTTGGGTTCTTTCTGTCCATCCTAAGCCATATGGATAATTACCCTTAAATACACCTTCCATTAACATTGTTGAGCATGGATCCACAAAGGCCAGAAACTGTGCATGAATGGGAGAGGGTCTCTGAAGTCTGATTTGAGTTCATTGCGATCGAGTAGTTGTTTGTTGGGCATGTCATACTACGTAATGTGGGCCACTTGTAATGTCTGCATGCTTTAGTTCGCTCTTAGGCGAGTGCCACTAAGTCAAGAGGACAGACCACCTTTGTCAAATCAAGTGCAAAAGAGCCTGCCGACGAGGGCCAAGGGCACCGAGAGAGGACCGGAGTTCGAGACCGCTGAAAAAAAAAAACGAAAGGAGAAAAACAATGGGTTTTGCCAGTTGCCAATGAGATGAGTGTGATGGGCAGCCCAGGGGCGATTACAATTGCAATATGGGCTTTGATTAGGCTGCCCCAGGGCATGCGCTCAGGTGGCCTGTTGGCATGGTTAATGTATGTTAACGCATGGTTCCCGAGTTTCTGAACAAGTATCGCTCGGCCGCTTGAGGTTGTTGGGTTTCAAGGAGGAAGTTAGGTACTTAAGGAAAAAACAACCATACATTGCTGGAATCTGTCAAGGACCAAGCTACAAATTTGGTAAGATCATATGGCCAAGCCTGAGACAAGTCTGGAGTGGCAAATACCAAGAGTCCAAGAGAAGTCAGCAGACAAAGTAGAAAAAGGAGTTCGGACTCAGAGATACTACGCGCACTGACTCTT